AGAATATATAAGAAAAATTAAACTAATTATACTAATAACTGAGTAATTAAGTAGCGACTGAGAGAAGCTGGGAATAATTATTATAATTATAAATTTAAACTCAGTGATGGTAATTATTTTGAAGTTATCAGGTAAAAACTCCAAAAATAATCGCTAATTTTTTTGGTAATTAAAAAAAACTGAGAATGAAGTCATAACTGCCAATAATTTAATAAAAAAATAATAATTCGGTAATAACTACCAGAATAATCAAAGAATAACTGACATTAACAACAAATTAATTAAGAAATAACCGCTAATTATCCAGAATAAGTAAACAAATAATTAAAAATAACGACTAATTAACAACCGACAGTATTTATTTGAACAATAACAGTAAAGTAATTAAGTAATAAGTTAAGGAATTATTTAACAAACTGTGTAATTAATTAACGAACTCAATAATTAATTAACAAATTCAGTTATTAACAAACTCAGTAATTAATTAAATGAAAGTAACTAAGTAATTACGTAATAACTAAAAGTAATTACTTAATATTTAAGAATAATTATTTAATAACTAAGAGCAATTTCACAATAACTAAGAGTAATTACTTAACTAACTAAGAATAATTACTTAATAACAAAGAGTAATTAAGGAATAAGAGTAAATAGGTAATAAGTAAGAGTAATTATCTAATAAACATAGTAATTAGAGGTGAGAACAATTATATAGTAACTAAGAGTAATTATCCAACTTGATAATTAAATTAGGCTCATTATAACTCAGTTAGGCTCACTATCGCTCAGATAACTCATTGTAGCTCAATTAGGCTTATTGGAGCTGAAGTAGGTTCATTATAGCCCAGTTAGGCTCATTATATTCGACTAGGCTCACTGTAGTCAATTAGGATCATTATAGCTCAATTAGGCTCACTGTAGTCAATTAGGTTCATTATAGCCCAGTTAGGCTCACTGTAGTCAATTAGAATCACTACAGCTCAATTAGGCTCATTGTAGCTCAGTTAGGCTTACTGTAGTCAATTAGGCTCGTTATAGTTCAATTAGGCTCACTGTAGATCAATTAGGCTCCCTGTAGCTCAATTAGGCTTACTGTAGTCAATTAGCTCATTGTAGCTTAATTTTCACTGTATACAATCCAGTACATTCGTCTTGTATTCGTGGTGAGCAGTATTCATACACTGTATAACTACACTGTTGTGTTGTTGATGTATTATTGTAGTGTGGTATGTTGAGTGTATTGTCATGGTTTTAGCCCCAGTGAATAGTTGCATCACAGTGTTGTTGTTTGGCTGCATTGTTGCATAAATTTATGTATAGTGACATGCTGAACCAAAAAAAAGGGTATTAATTTTTACACGTTTGTTCAAAATAGAATTTTTTTTTTAAAGTTGTGGTTTGGTGCTCGTGGTTACAAAAAAAAAATAAAAATAAACATGTGGGGAGGTTGGGAAAGGTCCAGAGAAATTACGCGAAAGACGTAGGAAAGAAACTAAGTAACGAGGGGAGGGATGGGGGGTGAAGAGTAGGAAGGTTTGAATGTGGCCTCAATGACTGATGGGGAAATATAATAATAAACACATACACTCACCACACACATCCCTGGACCAGGAGCTGTGACTCGACCTCCATCTTTTCCCCTCCCTTCCTCCTTCCCTTCAGGTGGGGTGAGTGCTGCTACTCTGGTGTTCTTGTTTATTTTTTTGGGTTTTCGTCTCACTGATGATGTGCTGGAGAACTGTATCTTCGTGATGCGAGAAAGATACACACACACGTGGTTATGTATTTTTTCTGTTAACTGATGTGTCGAGGACGCTTGTGTCATTCTTCATGAATCCGTCAAGTATTCTCTCCGTGGTCGTACACTTATGTGTCCGTGTAACTCCTCTCAGGCGGTACAGTGATGCACTTCCGTAATCTCTATCAACTTTACAGTGATACACCTTCTATGTATCCCCTCTCGAACGACAAATTAATGCACCTATGTATCCTACTGATAAACTAACATATGAATGTATCCTAACTCGATACATTAGCATACCTACCATGTATCATTCCTCCTGTATTAAGATAACACATGCAGCACATGCCTTCTCTCAGATGATACATGAAGACACATACAAGGCACACATGTGGCGGTGTTTCAGACAGCAGATACAGGCAGAGGTTACAGCGAAGGGGGATTACTGATACAGCGAGTGCTTATGCACCCTTTTAATGGGCAGTGGGAGGATAAAGAGGTGGCAGCCAGCCGCTTAGGGATTAAGGGTCTTGTCCCTTTGTGAGGGAGCATTAGATAATTAATTATTTTTTGATAATTTTGTGAGATTATTTTTGTGTAAATGTATACAGTATCTCTCTCTCTCTGTTTACATTTGACCATCAGACTAACAATGCTTTCTCCCATTTTCTCTCTCCCCGCATCGTTCCTGGCTCGTCCCTGGGTCGTTCGTCCCTGCCTCTTCCGTGGGACGTCCGTGGGTCGTCCTTGGTATCACAG